AGTACTTTCCTCACAACAAGAACACGACTTCCATTAGAACTGTACGTGAGAGTTCGATTACATCTTTATTGATGTAATTTTTAAATGTATTACTGAGAAACTGGGGTTCTTAAAAACTGTTATATTTTCAATAAAGGTTACCACTTTTAGAAAACATTACAGTTTATATCAGTATAAGTTATGAAAATTTTGAGCTCTATACATTGAATCATTTTGATGCAATGAGTTGCGTATGACTAAAGATCACAATCTGAACACTTTTCATGTGCAGTACTTCCCCGAAAAATATATTTTATTTAGAAAATGTTCATTATTTTACCATTTTTTCAGAATGAGGTATGAATACTACGATTAATAATTGCTAGTACAAACAGCAACCAGTTGGGCGGCGTTTCTGCTAGTAGTGATAATATGTCTGGTCCCATAATGGGTCAGATAGGTTAACTTACTGGAATTAATAAGAATGTCTTATCAGTGCTAATATTCTCAGAACTGTAATGCACGCCCTAAAAACTTATGGAAATCATAATTGGAATAATTTATTTCACAGTCTTTTATTGTTATCTATAACTAATTAATGTGAATAATATGATATTTTGAATAGAAATTATTATGATCCTATCTCTAAGGGTTACAATAATTTCTTAGATAACAATAAATTTAAGATATTATCTAATAGTGCTTCGTGTAGTAGAAATAATGGCTTACAGGGATATTTTAAACTAAAAATATATGCTAAGAGAACAAACTTTCGACATTTACGACCAGGTGAACATTTTCCGGTTATACCAAAGTTTGAGACTTCATATGTTTGGCTACGTGTCTAATGGCTCACTCAACCATTGGAATGTCCAGTAAATAGCTTCAACCCCCTAAGGAATCAAAGTGTTACAATCAAATGTCTAATCTGAGAACCATCGTTCTCTGAACAAAGTGAGTTGGGGCAATGCACTGTGCTAAACATACACTTTCATAAATGATACTTACTTAGCACTGAAAAGCTCAAAGTGTTAAAAATAAATTATCCATGAAGAAGAAGTCTGAACACCTTCCAAGTCTCCACTCGACTGAAGAGTTATTTCAAGGTGAAAAAATGGTTGCTACTAGACATATGTGGTGTATGAATACCATTGTGTCAAATGTGAGTTGACTCATATTGATAGTTCAGAAACTATTTTGTAAAACCAATAAATGAATATGCCTTTAACATAGTGAAACACAATCCAAAATAAAACAACGCGTGACATTATCTTATCAGTAGATCGCCTGCTTTAAAATATGAATAAAACATTAAATAGATGGATTCATAAGCAAATAACAATTCCTCAGTGTCATTTTTACTGAAAAATACTTAGTAGTTTTTCATTGAATGTATTAAATTATGAAGTTTTCAACAGTTTTAGGGACTATATTCCACAAGCACATAGATGCGAAAATACGTAGCTTGAATTTCACAATTTATTAATAAAAATATACGTTAATGAAAATAGATTGAAGTCGTTCGCGTTTTTCACATTTTTAAACTCCTGACTGTATGTCTAAATAAGTATTTAGTTTGTTTGTTTCTTTGTTATTTAGCACAAAGGCACACAATGGGCCATTTATCTGCGCTGTGCCCACTGCGGATATGGAAACCCGATTGTTAGCGTTATAAGCCCTCAGACTTACTCTGAGTCACAGGGGAACTAAGACAAGTGATAAAGTTCGAAGACGACTTGAATGGGTAATGAAAAACTTTATTACAAGTTTCACATGATAAGAAAGTTTCCTTCATTACCAGTTCCACACGTATTCAAGCTTTATTGTCTCAAAGTGGGTCTGTTGTCATCAAATAAGATAAGTGATGACATTGATTGTTATAAGATGCGAGTTACCAGACTGTGATGAGAAATGATTTCAATTGTTCTAGTACGTGCGTTGACCAAAATAAATGTAATAAAAGATTATTCAGGTGTCGTTGATCCAACCGAAAGAAGATTTTATATGTTTATCCAGCATATGAGTTGAATCAGTTATAGTAGGAGATTTATATATATATTTGATCTGTTCAGATTAATATCTATTATTCCAATTTTTTAACTTCGTTAAATGTCTATCATTTTGTAGGAAATGAGTCGATCACATTTTTATAAAAATTCGTCCTATTTGGCGAAACAGGCAAATAGATAAAGCTGTAATAAGGGAATATTGTAGAACATTGAGTAATCTTGTGTTCTTAATTCAGATGAAAGGCGGGACAGTAATATCTCAAAATTAAAGCGTTGAAGCTTAGAGGTTTTAGTCTAATACGGATGAATGTCGTAAAACTTCGTAAACTTTCGACCTGAACGAGACATTGTTTTTCAATAGATATAGCTTAAACTTCTCTTTCCTGAAGTGTAGAAAAAAAAATAATACAACAAACACTGTTCTATAGCTTTTTACACTAGTGCATCGACATTATGACGACACACATTTGTTCAAAAGTCCATATAATGCGGAAAATGACACATATAGACTGGAACAAAAAGCTACTTTACAATTGGTACTATACGGATGGTACGAAAAAAAACCCTTTTGAAGACAATTTGAACCAATTTAATTATTATTTGTTTCAGAGTAAGATGTTAAAAATTTAACTATTTTCTGAATGAAACAATTATACAGTCGTTTTTGTTTCATCCCTTTATAAACTTCTATTATGATAATAGAAACAAAGTGTATTCTATCATGAATAAGTAAGAAACATAACGTTTTGTGAGGGAAAAGAATCTCGGCTAGTCTAAAAAATACAGAGTTTTCAAATTACTGTTTTTCACCTAATATTTCATTTTTGGGTTACAGCTATCGTGGTTCCACTTCTGTTATATGATAACAATAGTATTATACATTAAAATACTGAAGTTTTACATCACACAGGGTCATTATAACAGTAACTCTGAAATGTCAGTCGGTTAATCACACAGTTATCCTCGGTTGTTATCGGGGCGAGTGTGGTCTAGTAGTTAGCTGCCTGGTTCGATTTTCGCTCTCTGAGACCCTATGTGCGCTATAAAAATGACCGTCAAACCCATTATTCGGTCATATAAAAGTAGCCCAAGGGTTGGCTGTAGGTGCTGTTGACTAGCTGTCTTGCTTCTATCTATCACTTCAAAATTATGAAGGGTTATTCGTAATTAGCTTTTTTATGAAGCTTTCCACTAGCATTCTGAAACAAACAAATACGTTTTTTTTTTTGTTATCAACTTATAGTTTCACTTTAATTTTCGTAAACCATTGTTCTTTTTCTATTTGTTATTCTTTTCACATCAGTCGGTCGTTTTGCGTTTATTGTAAATTAAATTACATGCTTCAGGTGCTACTAAGTGTCTTGTTATGACGACCACATCTTCATATTTTTAAATGTCAATTTCTTCAACATTGTCTCCAGATGTCAGTCTGCAGACTCGAGTTATTCCACCTGCACTGACTGACTTAATTTCAACCTAAATAATGTTTTGGTCAATAACACTATGAAGGTAGACATTGCGGAAATCTATTTTGGATCACTAATAATTTATGATACCGAATCACCCCAAGTGCGATAATCCCGATTATGATAAAATAGTGCCCTGTCTTTTGTAATATGTACATTTGTATGACATATTATACTGGATGATCCAGCACAGCGATTAGATTCTCTAAAGCAAGATCCTTGGTTGCTGTAGCAAAACAGTTATTTCAATATGTTCATGATTTCACGATTCACAAATGATAGTTTAAGTCGAAAAATGAAAAAAACAAAATGTGCTAAAAGAAAGATAACCAACTTCGATATCAGATTAACAGAAACATCTGGAAGCATTCGCAAATCATATCTCATGAAATCAGATTTCTGCCCTAATAATACAGCTTGTTTTAGGAAAGACTATATCGCATTTAAGATCGCACTGAAAGGAAAATAACCTCAAACGAGAGACTACCATACACCCTGTGTGGTGACACAATTATATCGTGCACCCTCTGTGGTGACACAATTATATCATACACCCTGTGTGGTAACACAATTATATCTTAAAGACTTCTGTGGAAAGCAATATGAGATACAAGAACAAAAAACGATTAATAAGAATTTGGATTGCATTTTTAAATACAACATACCGAGAAAGCCGTTTTCTTTATCCCTTATGTATTCTACTGTAAAGAAAAACAACAACGTATAATTCTGAAGAAAGGATGAAATATTAATGATCAGGAACGAAAATCCCAAATTAAACAGTCAAATCACGTTTGTCTTTACTACCTAAGTTCATAATTAATTAATCTTCTATTGATTTTTTCTCTTTGATTTTTGTTATTTATATAGCTTTTTCTAATTTCTGTATAACTTTTAAACTCTCATTTTCAAGGATTTTATGTATGGATGTATGATTTTGTTTTTCACGATTACTGGAAACATTTTGACGGTCCCCATTACTTAGATATTATCTGTATGTTCCAGATTTGTCTTTTTTGTTTAAAAATTGTTGCCATCATACGAGTTGTTTGTTATGATTTTGAGCATAGTGGGTTTCACCTGTTCCCGACGTGACCCCAACAGGAGAACTATTTATATACTAGTAATGAATATCATTTGAGGCGTTCAGAATAACAGATATTTTAATAAAGTGCAGATTATAAAGTTAATGCGTTTGGTTTATTTCAGCTTAACGTATATATATTAGTTTATTGGAGTGCTCTTAAAATAAACAAACAAAGAAAATAAAATAATAGCAGTTGCTAAATTTCTTTATTGCAAGTAAATAATTACAATGACCAAAATGAAATTAAAAATATTCTGTGACTACAGAACGTGTATTGTTACGCTAACAAATAATGTTTTAGTCATAAATATTTCGAGTTTCACCAGGAATACGATAAATTACGGATGACAGCTGGTGAATACCTAAAAGAATTATATACATGCTCTAGATTTAATGATATGAGTTTCTAAAACCTTAGATACACCAGGATATAAAATACAAACAATAAAAGCATTTGGATTACCACCAACCATATCCACCTCCTCCAAAGCTTCCACCACCGTATCCTCCTCTTCCGCCACCGTAGCCTCCACCACCATACCCCCCTCTTCCTCCACCACCGTATCCTCCTCTCTTGCCACCGAAGCCTCCACCACCGTAGCCACCACCACCATAGCCTCCACCACCGTAGCCTCCACCACCATAGCCTCCACCACCGTAGCCTCTGCCGCCGTATCCTCCTCCACCAAAACCTCCTTTTCCACCCCCACCATATCCTCCTCCACCAAAACTTCCTTTTCCACCACCACCATATCCTCCTCCACCACCGTAGCCTCCACCGCCATATCCTCCTCCACCAAAACTTCCTTTTCCACCACCACCATATCCTCCTCCACCAAAACCTCCTTTTCCACCACCACCATATCCTCCTCTACCAAAACCTCCTTTTCCACTGCCACCATATCCTCTACTGCCACCATATCCTCCACCGCCATACCCTCCTCTTCCACCACCACCGTATCCTCCATATCCGCCACCACCGTATCCTCCTTTTCCACCACCACCGTATCCCCCGCCTCCATACCCATAACCTGACTCTGCTACCGAGAGGTCATTTTGATTGTTAGAAGTGGAATCAATTTCTTTCAGATCTTCGCTTCTGACTAGAGCACAAGTCACTAAAAGCATTGCAACATATTGCAGCTTTCCCTAGAGAAAAAAGGTCAGTATTGAAGCAGTACATAAATAACATAACACGATATTAGAACTTTCAATTTCACAAGGATTTACAGCATTTAGAGAAATATTTCATTGACAGAATGTATTGCAATGTTGATAAATTACTGACAAAAGATTTTAATTAAGTTTAAATATTGAACGTTATTGTTTTCAATGATCCTAATAAATACGAAGCAAAATCTTTCTTAGCTTTGTGGTAAAGATACCGGTAATACCAGTTTAAATATAGTTTTTGCACGCTCACCATTTTTCGTCTAAAGAATTGCATTACTAAATGTTTACTCCAGTCTAGGTTCAATCTCTTCAAACTGCAAACGATAAGAGAGCAAATACAGAAAGAGAGATATTGTGGAACACTGACTTCGCTGATGAAGACCTCAAGATTATATAGTTGGTGCCTGCAGTGTCACGTGATAAGGTGACACACAAAACGTGACACGAATGTTCCACTTTTGTCCAATCACAGTACGAAATACGATGCAGAAATATCTCTACCAATAGGATGAGAAAGCGTTGCAGTGATCTTATGAATTGATATGAAAAAGGAAACTTCCGTGTAAGAAAAAATGTCAGTGGCAGTTTCAGGCCACCAAATTCTTTGTTAGATATTCCTCACCGAATGTTAATGATTTTTCACTTACAATTATGTATATCTTGTCATTCTCCTGACGTCTGTGTCCACAGACCCTGAAACGTTAAGGGTGACGGGCGTCAACTTAAAACATAATAATAAAACAACAAAACACTGCTTCGAAGTACGGCAGTATACATACAAGTCAATTGATAAAAGATAAAACTTGGTGATATGCTTTTAAATTTAGCTATATTATAGAAAACAAAATTTATGGGACAAGGTTTAGGAGTAACTTTAAGAACATACAGGCAAATATAACAAAGATAAATTCTAATTAGTACAATTTTATAATATGTATAAGAGAGCAACGTAAATTAAAAAAAAATTCCTAGCGAGATATCCCCTTCGGAATGGAAAAAATAATAGTCATTTCTAATGGCGAACTGTAAGTAAATTCATACACAGCAATACATAGTGGAGGCATTTCCTTGAATTTTAGTAAACTTGATATCTTGTTAGTGAACCCACTTACAAGATAACGTACTGCGCACGAAAACGTTGTTTTCTTGAATTATGGTTTAAATTATTTTATGGTTGGAATGTGAAAGCAAAATTATTATTCATCAAGTGACAAAATTCGTTTGGGCATACTTAAGTTTGTGTACTTAAATGATCGTAAAGATGGCCCAGATTAGAATAGTTTGAATTTTTTTATGATTATAAACCGTAAAAATATGTTGTTTTTTGGGGGGTTACTCTTGAAAAAAAAAATTCCATTTTCAGGTGGATGACATTAATTCATCATGCATGTAATGATCATACAAATTCATTTCCATGATTGTCAAGTTAACTGAACCTACTCTAGCAGTTTACCTGTGGCGTCACCTACCATATTTACGAGTCACCGAATATGATAAATTTATGCGTTATAAATACAGAACACAATACTATTGAAAAATTAGCCCAACAGCATAAAGCATTTTTTCCTAGAAAATGAAAATAAATACAAAAAATATGGGAGTGACAATCTATGTTGGAAGATCTTAATAACACAAAAAATCCGCTGTTGTTTAGATTCGACCCCATATCTGTGAATTTTTAAAATTATATATTTTTGTTATTCATCTTAAATATTTTAAATTCTGGCAAAATTTTTGTCAAACAACTAACTCTAAAGGTAATTTTAGAAGCAATGAATATATATATATATATTTAATTTTGGAGACGCTTATCAAAATTACTGATCAACTTAATTATCATCAAACATGAATACAACGTGAGACAATCTAGGTTCGCCAGATCAACTTAACAGTATTATTTT